CTATAAATAATATATATATATACACACACACACACACATTTGTATAATGCTATTTAGTAAGTGAGATTTATCAGTTCTTTTGTTTTGACAATAAAGGTGAAGTGCCTTGAAATTTGTTGATCAAGATTTGTAATTTCAGGGTGATTCAGACATCAAGTTTCACCGTGATATTGCTAAGCTTTCATACTTACTATGGTTTCTCAAAGTCTCATGTATATGTTTCATTACTGTCTCTTTTTGTTTCATTATAAAATATGTTAATGTTTTTATTAACGCTGCAATAACGTGTGGAAGTTATCCTGTTGTACCATTGTGTCGTGATATCAATTTTGCTCTCTTGAACAGCTGTTAAAGCAGGACTTGGTAAAACTTGGTTGTGGACGAATTTTGCAATATCCTGTATTTTTATTTGACCAGAAATTGAGTGTGGAAATACAGTACGTTGGCACACAACAACCACTGGTTTAAAATATAAAACATTTAAATGATAACAGTATTACTGAATGCTCTCTGCAGTATGATAAAGTATGTTAATTAAAAAAAAAAACAACAGAAGTTAAATACATTAAATAAAAATGATTGGGACATTGTTACACTTTATGTCATCACGTTCGATCTTGAGCTATCTGACAATAGCCTTGCAGCATAGTTTCCTTTAGAAAATGCTATCGCGTACGAAGCACACTATTCCTTGCAACTTTCTATTCCACAATACGAGCAGTGTACGAGTACGACTGTTTCCCAACTGATGTTTCAGCTGTCTGATCACCCAAAAAATTCGTAGGCACTGCATCTGGTGGCTTGACCAGTATTTCTTCGTGTGAAAATCTATTTCGTTTTCCAGCTGCTTGAGGTTTGTGACTGATGAATGGATGTATCGTGGAAGCAGCTTGTATACATTTAACTTGTGTCGGTTTTCCTCGTGGAGACTTCTTGACTAAGTTGCTTACTATTGCCTAGGGTGCGTGGATGGTTTTTTGCCACTGACCTTTATGTTCTGAATTCTCACGTGTTGCAAGATGTCATGGTTTGCTTACCAAAGCTGGTGTACAACTTGTTGCAGGTCCCTTTCTGAATGTTCTGGATGTCGAAAGTTGTTCCATATTCCTTTGTTTTACAATGGCATTCAGAATAAAGGATGTCCCTGTCTTAGAAATTTTAAATTATTGATCTGAATAGTTCTTTACAATATGAGTGTATGAATATTTTGCTTCTGAGAGTGAGCTTTCCAAAAATCACTAATTTTTCGGTGGTATATCACACTACCTTGAAATAGCCAAACAATGTCAAAATATACTTGTGATTCATACCACTCACCACGACTTTATATTGGTTGTAGTTTCACGTGATTTGCATGTTCAAAATCGTTTTAATATAACGTACTCAACTGTGTTTATATAGTACTGTTTGCTTCGTTCATTTTTATGTATGCGAGTCTTGAATATTACTTTCAGTTATTTGCACGTTTATTTCATGGGACCTTTCATTTTATCAAAGAAAAGAAAAATGTAATTCACAAGATGTGATACAGAATACATTTTTGTATTTTCAAGTGCCAAAAATGAAAAATATAATTTGGACAGTAATTTGTGTTATTTTATTTAAAACATTATGAGAAAATGTCGTGAGATGCACCCTGCTTTATTATTTTTTGGGGCTTTCAAGTCTTTTTAGAATTGAATGACATTCATAGAAACTTATATTTTATTTTACTTTCTTTATCCAGAAAAATTATTCTGGGGTGTTTAGCTGATACATGAGCATAAAAATAAAATTTGTACTCGGATAATTAGTCCACTGGTGGGACAGCGGTAAGTCTATAGATTTACAACTATAAAATCTAGGTTCGATTCGCCTTGGTGGATATAGTAGATAGTCCAGTGAGGCTTTGCTTTAAAAACAAAAACGGATAATGAAGCATCAGGTCATAAATATTTATATAATAAAATAAAACATTCAGTCGAGTAGTATGAGCACCAATAAATTCAATATACTGGACATTACCAGGATTTGATAACTAAAAGAGCTAGCGAAGGTAGATTCCTACATTGGTTTAGAATACATAGTAAAAAGAAATGCTAGACTGGTTTATTTTCAAGCGCATTAAAATTCATGAATGCTAATAAGAAATCATGTAGGACAAAATTTGATTGGCTGGTTGAACTTGTGTGGTCAGTTCAATGGAAGAAGAGAACATTTTGGAATGGATGGTTTACATTTAAATAGGATAGGAGCTGACTTGTTTGCTAGAATCATTAACTCAGCTGTATGGGAAGATTGAAACTAGGACTAGACAAAGGTGAGAGCAATGATGAAACTAAAGGCAAAAAAATAGTAGGCAGACAAAGGTGTAGCATAGGAAATGAATATAGAAGTAGTTATAAGGGTAGGCTTAATTGTTGCTATTGTAATGCTAGATGTATAAGAAATAAAATAAATGACTAGAGCACTGGGAGGAATGGAGGATTTTGATATAATGGGAATAATTGAAACATGGTTAAATGTAGATGATTTTGATGACACAAATTTCTTTGAAATACAGGGTTACAAGCTATTTAATAGGGATAGAGTACTGAAGAGAGGGGGAGTTGCTTTATATGTAAAATGTGAGTTACATCCTGTTGAAGTTGAGAATATCAAAGATAATAGCAAGGAATTGAATCCATTTGGGTTTCTATTAGTGGGAATTTGTTACAGAGCACCAGATGATACTGATAAAATTAGTGAGAAACTTTACAATGAAATTAAGATCTTAGCTGTTAAAGAAGTTACAATTATGGTGATTTTAAGTTTAAGCATATAGGTTGGAAAATCCTAGAGTCAAATCGTGAGAGAAACAGGTTTCGGAAACTGTTCAAGATGGCTTTCTTCACCAATTAGTCAAAAAACCTACTAAAAACAATGCTATTTTAGATTTATTGTTAACTTCAAATATAAAAATGATCGAGAGGGTGGAAATTGAGAAGTATCTGTCTGCAAGTGATCATTCCTCTGTTAGGTTCAATGTTTTGCTGCATATAGAGATAAGGAATAATGATATTTTTGGTACAAATTTCAAAAAAGCAAGTTTTGAAGGGATGCGAAAAGAATCATCTGTTGTGAATTGGGCAGATGTAGAAAATTTTTAAATATTCAAGGTAAACATGTTCCTTAGAGAAAGAAAGGGTTGCTGCAAGTAAAAACCATATTGACTCGCAAAGAGTATTAGAGATAAAATTTAAGAAAAGCATCGTAAATTTAGGAAATTTAAATTGACTGATGAGACGGGAGGTTTAGAAGATCAAGATAGTTGGTGAAATATAAAATTAGAACATTAAAAATGATGCATGAGAAAAGCTTGGTTGAAGATGTAATAAATTAACAGTAAGGATTCCTTTAAATACATTAAGGATAAACAAAATATTAGGATGTGGGTAGGACCCTTGAAAGATAATAAAGAAAACCTCGTATCTAATGTTTATGAGATGGTTGGGTTATTAAATACTGCTTTTTTCAGTTTTTACTAACGAAGAGTTAAGCAGTATTCCACATCTTGAACAGTTGATAGATGGAAACAAGATGACTGCAATAACTCTGATCTGGTTAAGAATTGGGAAGTTTAAAGAACTATAAGGCTCCTGGGCCAGTTAATATTTCTCCAAGGGTTTTAAAGGAGGTTAAGGATTGGTTATGTGAGCCACTTGCTACTATTTTTGCCAGTCCATGAATAGTAGGCAGGTACAAGAGAATTGAAATTAACTAATTTAATTCCTTTTTTTTCAAGGGAGGTGGTAAAAATTGTCCAAGCAATTATAGACCCATTATATTTACATCAGTTGTGGAAAAAAGTTTTGTACAGTCATTTAACAAAGTTTAGAATTTTATTGAATATTCAACATGGTTTCACTAATGGAAAATCTTGCTTTACAAATCTTTTGACATTCTTTGGAAAAGTTATTGCTTATGTGGATGATGGTAAGGGTGTAGATTTGATATATCTGGATTTTCAGAAAGCATTTCACAAGGTGCCACATATAAAGGCTTTTAAAAAATTATCTCTATGGGTGTGGGGGATAAGTTAGCAAATTGGATAGAAGAGTGGCTAGATGGAAGAAAATGGAGTTCAGTCAAAGTGGATTAATGTCATAAACAATGATCTCTCTAATTTTTTCAACCCGTGTGCGGAATGAATATTTTAATGTGCACCAGTTTTTTTTAGAGGAGAGGTATTTTTAAACCATCGACTTTATTGGATCATTAAGTCACTTTGCTATGCTATCATTTGGGCTTTAGGCGTATCAACCGTCAACATGTTGAAACTCCTCACCATTACCGAGTATATGCATGGCTGGAATAATGAAGTGTGTG